AATCTGTATTGTCATTTTTAAAATAATCTGCTAACTTTTAAATGATTTTAGAGGATAAAAAGAACCGTCTACTTTTCAAGTGGACGCCCACGTGATTTTCGCATCCTTTTTTGACATATTTCAATTTGTATTTTTTTTTTTTTTTTGAGTTAGAGATCCAACATCTTTGAGGGTTTTGAAATTAAAGGGCTGTTAGGTTCATGCATGAAAATGAAAATGAAAATGACAATAAATGATAATGAGTATAAATTTTCATTCTCCTGAGATTAATCTGGAATGAAAATTTGAGCTTGTGTGATAATGATCCCATTATATTATATAAAACTAAACAGTTCCTTTTATTCATATCCTCATTAATGACTGTTTAATACTTCTAACCAAACACCATCTAAGTTGAAAACCACGAATTTGAGAGGATTCAAGTGTGAGATACTCACATCCTAGAAGTTAACTTTTGAACACTTGTCAGTTGACACTTATTTGATTGTTCAAGCGATATTGTGAGTAATTCACTTGATATTGATTTTGTGATTAATATTATTCGGAAGAACAAAGATTGGTATGTTTGCGATATTAATTATACATCCTATGTTTGTATCTCTTCTCCTCCCATTTATTTGGAATCTTGCATTTGAAATTGTAGTTTAGTTATAAAAACTGAAATCATGTCAAAAAAAATAAGTTTATTCTTCTATTTTTGTAAGAGTATATAATATTTATATATGACAAATGAACTCACACACTCTCATTGGTTTTGGTGATGTTTGAACCCTCCTTCGAGGTTGAGCTCTATTAGGAACCCGGATGCCACTAAGTCAAAAACCTTTCGTTTTCTCCTGAGTGGTACTTCACTATTCGATACTCTTTTGCCATAAAGGAACGTTGTTCACAATGTTTGAAGAGATCTTTACAAATTTTGAACGGGTGATCATATGTCCAACCTTAGTATATATACAACTCACTTGATCACTCTCAAATTCAAACTTGAGAAGGCTAAGCAAGGTTTCGCGATCAATCACATTGGAAACCACAATGACGAAACTGAAAAGAATTGCAAACCGCAATGAAATGAATTGTAAACCATAATGACAAAAATCGGAATTTCAAAATACCATGAACAAAATCCGTAATTTCAAAACACCATGAACGAAAACCGCAATTATTTTCAACAAATTATAAGGAAGAAAACTATAGTTTACTCCTATTGTCATGAAATTGAGCCCATCTTAAATCGATTAATCAAAATATTTCTTACATCAAGAATGTAATTGGTCCTCTTATTAATTCTTACATTTAATCCCTAAAAGAAAATATATCGATAAAGTTATGATTTTCCCCAAATTATTGAAGGAAGTAAAATAGCTGGTATAAAAGGTCGAAGTTGAAATCAAGCGTTCAAATTGAAACAAGAGTATAGTTTGTACAATACCAGTTGGTGGTGTGGTAAATTGGCAATTGAATGGCGATTCATACCAGATGCAACAGTTGACACATGTATTAGTACCTGACCGATGACATCAGAAGAAGTAATTTGTGTGAGTAATGACGTTGAAAGCTACACGTTGGACTCAATTGCTAGACACTTGTTTGCGTGCTGAATGGAGGCGACGCTCCTAGTGGCACGCTGATGAACCACAACAAGGAGATTTCACCGTGTTATACTGCCATGGGATTTAGGGCAAGAGCTTAGCTTAGGGTTTTGAAAACAAGAAAAACTTTAACTCAAACCATAGAAATATGATATGACACCTCAACAGAAAAGATAGTCGTGACCATCTATTTATAAATAAGCATCAAGGATTACATAGGATTTACATATTTATATAATTACCTTTATATACATGGCTTAATAATTCATACATATAATTCCCTGCAAAACAGAAAGAAAATATATCGATAAGGAGATAGAAAAGTCTAAAAAAATCCAATGGACTTTAGTGTTTGGAATGATTAAGTCATTGGATAATTTTTAGGAACAAATAAGTTATCTAACATTCCTAAACAAGTTAAATAACTCATTAGACTTTCTAAGACATGTTAGATACATTTTTATGACCTATACAACTATTAATGTAGTAAAATAATGGAAAAAGTCCAAAAAAATGACCAATGAATTTTCATATTCTAAACGATTAAATCCCTAAATATTTTTTGAACCAAAAAAGTACTTAAATCTATAAAATGAAAGAAATATACTAAAAAAAGTATTTACATTTACAAAAAAGTACTTATATTTAAAAAAGATCATGAATGAAATTTATTTTAATTAAAAATATATTATGTATGTGATTTTTCAAATTAAAAATAAAATAAAAAAAGATTTAAAAAGGATTATTGATGAAATTTATTTTAATTAAAAATAAAATATACTCCGTTGGTGATTAAATTACTGACAGATTAACGATAAAATTTAACTAAATACATAATTACTAAAATTCGTCGCTAGTGCTTATTGGTATATATGCATTAATTACTTATATCTAATTGATGACAAATTTGACCACCGTCAGAAGCTTTAACACAGTAACATGTTAATAAGTGTAAAATATCATGTTTGAATCTTGACGGTGATATCATCAGACGCTCTAACATAGTAACATGTTAATATGTGTAAAAAATCGTGCTTGAATCTTGTCAATATCATTTCACTGACGGATTAACAACGAATTTTAATTAATTATGTATTTAGTTAAATTTTATCATTAATCTATCAGTGATTTAATCAAATTATTTTCTATTTTTTTATTTGGAAAATCACCAACAAAATATATTTTATTTTTAATTAAAATAAATTTCATCGGTAATCCTTTTAAAATCTTTTTTTAATTTTTTTTGTTTGAAAAATCACTGACAAAATATATTTTGTCAAAAATCTTTTTTTTAATGTGAGTACTTTTTGGTATATTTATTTTATTTTATAGATGAAAGTACTTTTTTTCAAAAAATATTTAAGGACTTAATCATTCAAAATATGAAAATTCATTATTTTTTTTTTCCAGATTTTTTCCATTATTTTACCACATTAACCAGTTTTATAGGTTATAATAATATATCTGACAGGTTTTAGAAAATTCAATAAATTATTTAGTAGGGGCCGTTTAGCGGTTGCTGAATGATTTGGTGCAAAATAGTTAAGTGGTCAGAATGGTTAAGAGGGCGATAATGGTTAAGTGTTGAATGAAATAATGTTGTTTGGTAATTGTTCTCTGAATGACAACAAATTACCATTTCAACCCTCTGTATGATTTAGTATTGAATGAAATAGAGTTGTTTGGCAGATATCTGAATAAAACAATTATTTTGCAAATATAACTACATATTTCATATTAATCCAAACAAACATAACATTATTAGTTCAAAACAAAATTTCATATTAGTCCAAACAAACATAATTTTTCAAATACAGGAATAAACAAAAACATAACAATCAAATTCCAACATAATAGTTTTTGAACAATTCTTAATTTGACGGATTTAACATTAATTGATTCGCAATCTGGTCATGTAAATTAGTCATATATTGATTATTTTGAGTACCAAAAGGCATTCCATCCATGTCATCTTCATCGCCTCCCTCGATTTTTTCTTGTCCCTCGGTAATAAACATGGGGTCATTATCGTAATCTATGAATAACTGATCGTGGATATTGCATCTTCGTATAAAACTATGAAGCACAAAACAGGCAATCACAACGTTCCTTTGTATGCGAAACGGATAGAGAGCCATTTGCTTTAAAATTGGAAATCTTGCCTTCAAGACACCATGATAACGTTTCTGAGTTGCACATGAGCATGGTTGAACCTTTCTTCTTTGGTCAAGGCACATTGTCGTCGAAAATCAGGAAACCAATACCTCTTATTGCAATATGGAGTCATAAAACCACGAGTATTGGCATAAGCAGCATCACAGAGATAATATGTATCTACAATCGAAATTTGAGTTTCAACCCATTATATAAAATGTATAAGAAATGGTAAACATTTAAAGTTGAGTAGAAATTTTACATACCTCGTGGAGGAAATACAAAGCCAGAGGTTGGACTAAAAGCAACTTCTCTCAACACTCCAGGCTTGTGAACTTTATTGCTAACAATATTGCTAACAGTAGGCTTGTGAACTTTATTTTCAGTTTCACACAAGTAACAACAATCGTAGAGGAGAAACATGGCTGCAACAGGGGCATAATAGAAGACAAGAATTACTATGAAAAATATATTAATCTGTTGGTTTCCTTTTTCTTATCAAAAAATGTCGAAAGTGAATAACCCCGAATCAACTTGGGGTATAGCCATTTTCTGTTTCTCATGAAAATCAATCCCATCCAGATAACGACAGAAGTTGCTATGGTATAGGAAGGAGACGGTATAGGAAGCGAGGAAATACCTGAAGCGATGTGGAAAAGGATGGAGGGAAGCAGTAAGGGCGGTGACCAGAAAAGCTGCTGGAAGACGGCGGCTGGACGAGCTGCTGGAAGAAGGTGACTGGAGACAGTGACCGAAAGAGCAACGATCGTTTGGGGGGGGGGGAGACCGACGATCGTGTTGGGGGGAGCGATGTGAAGGAACGGCTGGTGTAGAGACTAGAGAGGGCAAACTTGGAAAAAATGAAATCTGAATGGTTTAGTGAAGCCCTACTCCATTGGTAGCAAATGGTTATCCATTAAGCGGAGGAAATATTAGTTAACTACTTAGATGCTTTCAGCAGTTATCCGCTCGGCCGTTCTGGCTATATAAGAAATCCGTGATTAATAATACACAAAATGGTTAAGAGGTTAATGTAACCATTAAGAGCCTTATTTGCTTTTTTGCCAAATAGCACTTACCTCTTACCGATTAAGATGTTGGCTTTTAATATCACCATTAAGAATCAAACAAACAAGCCTTATATTTTAAAATGTCAAAAAACTTAACGGTTCCAAATGCTAAAATCCATTGTGTTTTTAGAATTTTCCAAATTTTTATAAAACACACCGTCCCTAGTTTCTCTCTCTCTCTCTCTCTCTCTCTCTCTCTCTCTCTTTATGGTCAACAGGGGGCTTCAAACAAAATCACGGTAGAAGTAGAACTGGTTTGCTGGGATCACTTGAGTCCCAAGATTTCAATTTCCCTTCTGTGTCTATACGAAAAACAAAATTTCTTTCATATCTTTTAGGAGAAAGGTTCAGAAAAAACCCCAACTTTTGCGATTGGGTCTTCCCTGCAACTTAGAATTAAACCCTAATTTCAAAATCAATCGCAAAAATCAATGGCAAGAATGGAGGGGAAAGAAGATGTATCATCAGCAACAGCCGTCTTGCTTGGAGCTTTAGCCCCTGGTGTTAACGTTCGTAAAAGTTTTTATTTTTGTTAATTTTTCTTTAACAGTTTACGGATCTTTTGTTGTTTTGATATTAGGGTCCCACTTGGAATACATTAAAAGCAGCATTCTTGATGTTGGGTGTTTGTCTTTGTGCTATGTTGGGCTTAGCTTTCTCCTCAAGTGACTCCACATTGGTGCTTCATGTCACTCTTCTTGTTTTAATCACTGGCACACTGTTCTTCCTTCTCAGCGGGTAAACTTCTAAATGTCTCAGTTTATTTCTGGTGAATTTTTGATTTTGTGATTATATAAATGGTCAATCTGAAGATGGGGTTTGTTTGATTATGAATTCAATTTATGTCTTTTTCTGATGGCCTTTTTTGGATTCATAATCTAAATGAAAAATCCCTGTGATTAAGAGGGTATGAGAGTTGTTGAATTTGTTTCTGTTTTGGTTTTCAATTTGATGTTTGATATGTTCTCTTCAAGATCACAAAGATTTGATTGGTTTTACCATTCTGAAATCAAGTGCAATTGTTCACCTTAAAAAGGGCTTTTACCTGAAAAGCAGATATGTGGATTTGTTGGTACTGATCTAGGAAACTAGATTAGATTCTGGTGGTTAATCTGTGTACTATTTCCTCAAACTTTATGATTATTTTATCTAATAATGTGAAACCCTTGATCCAAAAACAGAATACCCTTTTCTGAATGGAGGATTAGTTTGAATTTATGGTGAACAATTAGGTAACTTATATGGGAATTTCCTCCTCTTGGGTTGAAGAAAATTAGATTGATACCAATGTGACAGGATGGTGGCTTTTGATCATGATACCATCGTGGCGTCAATTCTCTTGAGATCATCTTTAACTACACACACACACATATCACTGTTCTAAAAGGCTCGCCGCAACAGCCGCCATAGCGCGACATAGCTCATGCCACATTAAGCCTGTGGCATGCGATGACCTAATAATGTGCGGTTTTTGTAACGCGATATTTGATTTTTCTTACATTTTTAAAGTATTGTTTGTTAGTTTTTGATATATAACCTAAGTTAAACTGTTTAATATCATTGAGTAATAATAAAAAACATATGTTTATATATATTATATATGATATAGAGATTTGGAGCTATAAGTCATGCTTTGAAACCCGTAGTGGCCTTGCGGCGGCTTTGAGGGCTTGAGGCTTGGCCTCACCTGTCACATCACACCTCACCCCATTTAAACCTTGATAGACACACACACACACACACAAATATCTATTGGCACCACACTGTTTATAGCTACCAGTGTTACTGTGCTAGTCTACAGTTAAACTTAAATCATTACAAGTTTATGCAAACTCTGAATATGCATTTTTAATGAATACATGATACCATACCATCGGGTGCCTACATCTTACCTTGCCCAGACCCTACCTCCAGGTGGGATATACTTTCCTATGTTTGTTGTTATACCTAACAGTTGATGTTTCTGCAGGTTTCTTGCGCAGACTGGGTTGGTTTCAGTTGAAGATCAAATGCAGGAGATAGGATTAGGAACGCCCAATCAAGCTGACAGAGGAACAACTGATAAAAGCAAATAAAGAAGAAAACTCGAAGGAAGCTCCATGTTATGAGTTTGAGAAAACCACTGTTTATACAAAATTTTGTTCTTTTGATTTTGTGGATCTTTCTTGTTATTCCTCAATGATCATAATCAGCTTTGTATAATTCACAAATCTAAAGCCACTTACAATTAGGGCTCAACCCTAAAATGGCATACCTTCCTCCTTCATGCATAACAGTAGTGATTCATTGAATGAATGCACCTTTTTAGTCTTGTTATTGTGGATTCTTTTTGGCTCATGCTTTTTCCGTTTTGAGTTTTCCACGTAGATCTCTTCTGCAATGTTGAAGGCATAGAATGCATATGGAATGAGAGTGGGTAAAAGAACTGTGAAAAGTTTCAAGGTTTTAATTTGAAATGTATAGTTTAATAATTTACCGATCTTCCTTAGTTTTGTTCCATCTACAAAAAAGGAAAATGCATTTTTGTCCGTCGCTAAGGTCCATTTTATCCTAGTCTAATGTCGTGTCAAACATGAGATATCAATATTTGCACTGTCTAATCATGTCTTGTGTATCAAATGCAATCTCGAGAACAATCTATCAACTCTTCTTATTTGGCACAATACTTGGTGGTTGAGAACAGAATGGTGCATAAGATGGTGAAGCACCATTGGACTCGAACTTCAGGTTTTGAGTTTATTCTTTCTTCGAGTAAATTTCATTTGTTGTACTTGTGGTTTGTTGAATTTCTTGGATCAGATGCCTATAGTTTTTCATTGATAAAACACCTCTATAGTATGCAAAAATGCTTGGTTTTGATCATTCCCGTGAACATCTTAAAAATAAATCCGTTTAAGTCAAGGATATTATGGTAATTTTATAGGTCTTTTCCCTATAACCTTTCTTCTTCGTTCCTCCATGAATTCATACTAAAAATGGAAATGTAACCAAGTTAAAATAAACGAACAACAACAAAAATCACGAAATGCTATCCAATAAACATAAAAATCACATGATCATAATTCAAAATCACAAAATCCCCTCTCAAGAATGAAAAACCTCCAACAACAATAGTTTGTATATTGGCACTTGGTACAAGCAAATCGAGAATGGATGATTGTTTATAAGAGGAAGGTTGTTTAAGAGGTCGATTGAAGCAGCGGGAGTTGGTTGCCAGCATTCACCATGGAGGAATAGACCGAGAATGGTGGTACTAACAGATGCTAAGGAGATGACAACCTTTTACCTTTTGCCTTATCTTCGTTTTGATTAAGTTTTTTGCTGTAAATTAAGGGAGTCCATTAATGGGAGATGCGAGAGAAAAAAAGGAACATGGAATGGTGGTGGTGGCTGTCAATGTTCACCATGGAGGAACAAATCATCGGTGATGTGGAGGTAGAAGATGGTTAGTGAAGGGAGAGTAACTCGGGTGGTTGTAGAGGCGGGCTTATGAATTCTTTTAAATGGTAACACCATTTTGACTAGAAGAAAGGAAGCTATGGATATTTTTCAAAAAATCAGTATTGGTCTGTTGGTAGTTCCTTATTTTTCGTATGTGAGATTCTTGTGTTCGAGCCTTTTATATCATCTTTTTTCAGGAACATGATAAATCTGTAACAACTAAAAACTAAGAAAACAGTTGAAATGTGATTCGTGGTGGTTAGAGGTGGATGGCTATATTCCTCGGAGAGAACTCTAGGTGAATATGAAGCGCATGGATACAAGTTAGGCCTTGGAATAAAAGGCAATTCCGAATCTGCTTTCCCGTAGAAGTGGCGAGCGAAATGGGAGCAACTTGAACTGTGAAAACGGGGTTGTGGGAGAGCAATACAAGCGTCGTGCTGCTTCTGCCCTAGTGTGTTACAAAATTTAGATTTATCTAAGGATCTAAACAGAGACAAATTACTTTTGAATAAATTCAGAAATAATGGCAATTCCACCCAGAAAGTAATGGGTCAATCCAACACATCCTTGTACAATGCTAAAGGGAGGAAGACGGCCAAGACAAATAAAAATGTAAATGACCATCTTACCCTCTAAGTTAAGTTATGGAAGTTAACTCACATTAGTGGGAATGACCAAAACTTTTTGTATATCAAAAAGGAATTTTTGCAATACAAAAACTATAAGGACTTAATTTGAAGAAAACAACAAAACAATAGGGACCAAAAATGCTATTTAGTCTATTCTTTAGCTTGATCAATGTTAGAATTACTTGTACTCGTTACCACTTTGTTCACTTTAACATTCATAATCAGTATCTCGAACATATCTATATCATATTATAAAACATTTGACAAAAACTCTTAAAATCCAATTTTTTATGCATGAAGTACTGTTTATTAATGCATATTACTTAAAATTTTAGATTACAAGTAAATTGTGCGTAAGTACAACTTATTAAATCTCCATTTTTAAATTCGTATAACTAATTGCAGATAAACATAATCAAATATAGAATAAACATCTCATTTTAAATATAAAAAATCTAAAATATAATTAGGATAATCATTGAGTTCTAACAGAATCATTATCTTTATCTATACTATATTATAAAACATTTGACAAAAACTTTTAAAACCTATTTTTTATGCACTGTTTGTTAATGCATATTACTTAAAATTTTAGATTACAAGTAAATTGTGCTTAAGTACAACTTATTAAAGCTCTATTTTTAAATTCGTATAACTAACTGCAGATAAACATAATCAAATATAGGATAAACATTTCATTTTAAATATAAAAAATCAAAAATATAATTAGGATAATTATTGAGTTCTAACAGAATCATTATCTTTATAAAAATTATATTGTTAAGTCAAAAATAAATTACTTCGCTATTAAACTGAAATTAAATTATAATAAAAAAATTGAATCAAAGAAATTGTACAAAAAAAAGCTTTTAAATGGTTAATTTGACATTAATATCCGTGTACCTTTTCAAATTTTATGATATCTTCAAATTTATTTTTATTCAAAAATAAAAACATTGTCTTTTTTAAAACCACATAAACTGTATTATATCAACAAAGACAAAAATAAAACGAAACATTAAAATAAAGATCTATATCGCTGCATTACGCGAGTACCCTTCTAGTTTTTAAAAATAGAGAATCATGATTAAAATTCAAACTCTTTAAAGAGAATTATATTTGCCTCCAATAGTTTATCCATTTTAAGTATTACTATAATAATTATATATTATTAAAATATTTTGATAAAAATATTATTTTTACTCTGGTAGACATTTAGTTTCAAAATTCTTATCCGTGAGAACCGTAAAAAACTTATTTCTCTCTCTTAGATAGTTATTTTAGTAAGTTCTCTTAATTTAGAGAATTTTAGAGCATATCTAAAATTTAAATAAAATAGAAAACCAAAAGTTAAAATCTTTATAAAAAAAATTTACGCTAAACTCCAACCATGTACTCTATATTAAGGTAAGTTTTTGTCCCTATAATTTATATGCTATAACATATCAAGTCCCTCTTTTTAAATAATTTTGGATTGCAGCCCTGTGGTATACAATTTATAACGGCTTTCGTCATTTACTATAAGTCCATTAAAAAAACCAGTTAACTCTTAGGGCATTTTAGTCCTTTTAGGTAAGAATTCTTTCATTGTTAAAAAAATTAAAACAATATATTATATTATTATTATACACTATTTATATATTATCTATACATTTATATATAATTCTCACAACACCGGCCACCATCCCTCCCCTTCCCTTCTCCGTCATCTCCGCCACCATCACCTTTCCCCCACAACACAACGCACACACACACAAAGAACACACATAATACACATACATATATACTACACACAATACACAAATGGAGACCAGTCAGATAGCAACAACCAGAAAAATAGTCACAACAGTAGCCAAAGAAACAACAACCCCACCAAAATCAATCATTGCCTAACGTGATGGTCGTGTTCCGATGAGAAATCTTCTATGCTTGGAATTGATGGATCTGAGTTGTCGTCTGGATCTGAGGTCGCCTATTCAGCCCTGTGACACCGAAGCACCGTCCTTCAATCTTCCTTGTCCTAGTGAACACTTGCAAAACCCAAGCAAAATCAACGATTGTGAAACCTACAACCATTAACATAGTTGCATCAGCAAGAACTATACTAATCTTTTAACAGACATCAGCCGTAACTCCATTCAACCTTCTAACCCAAATCCAGATCTGGGTTGCGATGTTTGTAACACCTCTAAAAAGGAAAATAACAGACAATTTAAAACTTAATTTCCAAAACAAGCTTAATATAAAAATGCATTAAGTTTACCCAAAAAAGAGAACATGGAATGTATTAGAGTTCTAAACCGGACGATCTAATTCCCAAATAGAATTAGAACAAATCGAGTGTTACTAAACTACCAAATATGCAATTCTCAAAACTGGATGACGCCTCTAAAGTCATCCTATCAAAACCTTAACAAAGCTCCATACGACACTCAGAATCCACGAAGATGTGTTAGACATGTCAATAAGAAAAAGTGTTAGGCTTAACATTTAGCGAGTTAAATCAGTTTATCTCATAAACATAAAACAATTAAACCATAAGATTTCTCTTTAACCACCCATTTCATCATTTAAAACCGTGTTTAGAATCAAATGAATATCTTCATAAAAACCCACCACTTTCATGTGAAATCCATTAATCAAGACACTTACTTTAGATCATAATCAACATACAAAACCACCATTCAAAATAAATAGATAAAAATCACTCCATGAAGTACCCCAAATAACATAATCCTTTGTACTCTAAATCACTGAAAGCATAGATAAACTCAATACCCAAAACAACACCTTTTGATGACGAGGGAGACCCGTTTCCATCGACTATGGTGAAACACAAAGTAAGCCATGTGTCAACGTTATCAAGTAGCATCTTAAGATCACGATCCCGGTGTCTAGCCTCCTCAAGTTTCCATCACAATACCTAAGATCCCAGAGTCCGACCCCACAGGAGTTCATCTCGGTAATACCCATGACCTTAACGCCTACTGATAAGTGTATATAAGTATATACTTCAACACTTAGTTAGGACTTTGTTTTACTTCATTTTAATTATTCCCAATCATTTATTGAGTTCTTTTATTACTATTTTATTATTTAAGATTGTTTGGATCTAGGTTGCAGAACTTAGTACTATATAATGATATTGTGGATAAATATGTTAACAAATTGTTGCTGCAGTTGGTATTGCCACAACAACAGGAGTTGGACGTATCCATGATCAATCTTGAAAATAGTTTTTGGCGCTC